CAGATATATATATATATATATATATATATATATATATATATATATATATATATATATATATATATATATATATATAACTCCTCTGTTTCTTTTCTTTTTTACAAAGAGGGGCTGTCGTCGTGTACGGCGATAATATCTTCCGCGGCATATTTGAAGAGTTTGTCGTGCTGTGGCTGGCGGGGCGCGGCAGGCGTGGCGTACATTCTCACCGTCGATTGAGATCGGAGGTCACGCGGCGGGTGAGTGCGAAGCAAAACGGCCCCACGTCTGTCTGCTCTGGAAATGACTGAAGCGCCCCCGCGGCGTGGATTTTTCCACTCCTCGACGTGATCAGCTGTCTCCGCGAGTGGTCGGAAAGCCATCGCTCCATGATCCACGCGGAGCCGTCTGATCGGCGTGCAGACGTGGCAATCCACGTGCCCTAAAATATGATTGGACTGGGATTAACGTGTTCGGATCATCCTAGTATGTTTTGCTCCATCATGGCATCGGATTCGCCGAGGGTCCTCACCCAAGTCTTCAAGTGGCGGAAAGAAGTGTCTCACCCATTCGCCGACGGACCACCGAGCTGCGTTGTTGTGCGGTCGGATCCACCTCGTCCTCCGCCTCCACCATGTCCTTTGCCCGTGGAAAGCGGAAAAGGAAGCACACATGGTCCAAGTCGGTGGAGCTCCAAAGATCTCAGTGCAGGAGAAGAAGAACCAGCCCATACTCCTCGGTGGTCCTGGAGGGACCAGGTCAGCGCAGGAAGTCTCTATCTTCGGTGCGATGGTCTTAGAAGCTTCTTCTTTGCCACTAGCGGGAGCAGAAACTGTTGTCCTGTTCGATTTCCTGCACTAAGTTGGATCGAAACGACAAGGATAGTACAGAAACTATCTCTGCATCGAGAGTGTTGTTATCTGCGAGTTGTTGTAAGTAAGATCAGCAGTGTTAATGTCGTCCTATGAAATGAATATCTATACCAAAAACAACAAAAAGCATAACTATCGGAAATAGTTCGCTCTAGTGTTCTTTCTGTTGGAAAATGACTTCAAGGCTAGCAGACAAGACCTGAATCTTTCTGATCATTGAAGACAAAACACAGGTAGCCAAAGTTCCAAAAGGAACATTTCTTGGGATAATCTTTCGAAAGGAACTTGGACAAGGGAATTGGAGCATGAAATAAAGCTGCTTTTTAGCTTGCATTATCCCATCTTGCAGAAACCATTCAGCGTGGTGGTCCAGCAAAATAAAGGACATGCATGTTCCTTCTCACCAGCTAATTCAAAATTATGGTCTTCAGCATGAAGCTTTGCCCTATCATTCGCGATGAAATATGGTCAAACAAAGATCTCCTTTTTGTCTACGGGAAAAAAAAAAAAGCTTTGCTTCTATTTTAATTATTTATTAGCATAATAATTCAGAAGAACTGTGACAATGACCTGTACGTGGCATCTCTATGCTCACGACACGTGTCATGTTTAATAGGCGGCTCGGTCCATCTCGTTCCATCGCATCGCGATCAAAAGAAGACCCATCGCATGTGGCCCGGTCCATCTAGTAAGATCGGATTAGTTGGCCCGGTCCATCTAGTAAGATCGGATTGGGTTCGGCCCGGTCCATCGCGATAAAAGGATGACCGACCGTAGACCAGGAGTCGTCTTCTTAAATCCGATCGAACCCATTGGGGGAAGTCGGCGGCCACCAAATCATCGCGGTTCCCGTCGGCGGCTACCGGTGATTCTCGTCCCGGGCACGATTCGACAACTTTGAACGGATCTTTTCAGGTGAGTTCCTGTGGCTCCAATTCGTCCCGCGAACTCTGGTTTTGTCGCCATACGAGGAGGACCTCACCTTGCTTCCCGTTTAAATCTGCCCATTCTTGGCATTGATTGCCGACTCTGAATCCATATTTTATGTCCAATAATTGCGTCTGTCGGTCTGGCTGCATCATGGATGGGAAGTTCTTTGCGAGTTCATGCTTTGCTCATCATCTTTTCTATCAGTGTATGATTCTGGAAACTATTAGGGAATTGGGTGGTTTGCGTGCGTAGTTTCGGCTCCGATGGCCCACTTCAAGGTTCCATGAGACCACAAGCTTTCATGGGTTCGCCGGTCGGGTGTCGAAGTCAAATAGCTGGAGATCAAGAGCGATACGGATTCAGTCAGAAGCTTTAGGTGCCTATTTTGTAGAGCTGAGGATTTGCTAGTGAGGAGAGAAAGCAAAGCAGCCATCTTTCACTTATGAATAAACGAAATTTAAATGAGAAGAAATATATGTTGAACAGTCTTCAAATAGGTCTCGGTATAAGAGGCACCTCATAGATACAACGCCTTGGAATAGAGAATCCAGGGTATTTTGTCCGTTCATGTTGGAGGAGAATGATCTTGGGTATGTGCCCCTTGGAAGACCCTTTCTTTTTGTATGCATATGAGCACCTTCAAGGCAAAAATTATATATCCATGAGAATTTAAAGATGAATGTATGAGTATAGGATGCTTTTACAGAATATATACAAAGAAGTCCTTTAATTTCGATGCTATAATGCGTTCGAGTAAATGATTCAACACTTTTTTAAGTGAATCCTCCTCTGGTAATATTAGTTCGATCTATTTTGGTAACATTTATTTAGGTTTTATCTCTTTTAACATGGGTTTCATCGTCGAATGAGCTCAAATCTCCGGTATACTGCTCGTAGTTATTCTACTGAGCTTCCAATTAAAATATCATCATTATTTGCAATTTGATTCCTTCCCATATTTTTGGACATGACTTACTTTTGATTAGAATTTAGTTTCTTTGGATCTGATTATACTTTTTGGTTCATGAATATAGCTTTTATTAATATGTCTTTGCTTTGATTTCTGTTTTCACAGCGGAAGCTGGTTATCTTGCTATTTGGACTCCAACTCTTAACTCATGGGGAACTGTTCAGGAAAAGTGAGAAGTTACCAATGGATGACATCAGCTCATGATGACTGTTTAGAATTTGTGGTTTAAGCAAATTATAATTTGTTGCTTGTTATTGCTGGTGCTTGGATTTCATGCTTTCCTTTTTAATTTACCAATTTTGAAAGCTTTTTTTTTTTGGCTTTATTTTCTACTTATTTGTGCTTTTCCAGATATGCTGTCTCTCAAAAACTAACAAAGTTTATGCATGCATCCAAGCATGGATTGCGTGTGTTAGTGAAATTAGGAAAAGGGTGGGTCTTGTGGTTAATGGAGAATTTATTTGTATTAGCAATAATGTTTTGAGTAGCTAAATTGCAGCTATAAAATCTCTGATCATGAGCTTTATCAAACACATATATGGTTACACATTTTTTAGGAAAATATTTGTGCACTTTCATGATTACATCTCCCACTCATATTGTCTGGATTCGGCATTGCTAGAGACTGAAAGTTCATGCGCTATCTGTTGACAACTAGAGGAATCTCCTGCCTTTTCTAAATAAACTTAAATGGTTCGATTATTTCACCTTATTGTGTAGAAACCTGATGGATTTATGAATATCTTTGTCATAACATCTGATATCGGATTAATTTATATTTCTCCATCATTTCCAACCTTTGGTCAGTGACTATTTGGTGACCTTTTATGCTGTCTTTCCATTTCCTTCAGAAAGGGGCAGGTAGTGATCTTGAAGAGGAGATAGACTTCAGAGGTGGAAATGTGCATGTAATTACTAGCAAAGAGAGCTGGGATCAAAAGATTTTGGAAGCAAACAAGGATGGCAAGATTGTAAGTGAACTAAGACAACCTCACTTATATTTGGACACTCATCACACCAAATACTGTTATAGAATTCACTTACATAGTCACATAATTTACTTACACAAGCATTCAATGTAACTTTGAGATCAACTCGAATTGCTCTCACCTTCATACTGTTTTTCAAATAGGTGCTTTTACGTACAGAATGTTATATTCAAAATTATATATATCAGTACTTTCAAAAGTAACTATGGAAATGTGATCATCTCACTTACATGTTGAGAGTGGTCAAGAAAAATAATGAAAGTGTTAGTAACTTGTTGAGACCAATAATCTTGCATTCACTCAGATATGTTTTCTAATGCATACACATTTAGCATCAGGTAGATATATGTCCTTATTCTATAATTGGACAAACTGGCATGAACTTTGATTTCTATTCCTACAGGTTGTAGCAAATTTCAGTGCATCTTGGTGTGGCCCATGCAGAATGATAGCACCTCTTTATAAGGAGCTGTCTCAGAAGTATCCTTCACTGATGTTTTTGACAATAGATGTTGATGAATTAATGGTAAGATCGACATTATCTTAATCTTGTCCATCGCAATTTTTTATGTCAATTATGCACTTACTATTGTTTAGGATGACTTTTCCTTGAAAGACCAATAGTTTTGTGCTTGTCTGAGTTTACTTATCCTAGTTCCTGCTTGTTAATTCGTCGTCATCCCTTCTCTCTATTTGTATGTGCACGTCATCCTTGAGCTTGCTTGAAGACATTCGCCGAAGTATCTCTTATTCAAGGCATCAAGTATTTTTTTCTTTCAATTATCTTTCGCATATAACCAAGTAGCGATGGAATAAAAGCGAAACAGTTTACCCCACATCTTGTATCGAAAAAGCAAATTAGTTTTTTCATTGTTCGTTTGGGTAGTAGGGTTTTCAAAATCAGTTTTTAAAGTTTGTGGATCAACATTAGAGAAGTTCTGGGCCGACCATATTTGGCTTACGGTATACTTTTAAGCATGGGCTGTACATGTTTCAGGAATTTAGTTCGTCATGGGATATACGTGCAACTCCAACATTCTTATTCCTGAAAGATGGGCAGCAGTTGGATAAGCTGATTGGTGCTAATAGGCCTGAGCTGGAGAAGAAGATAATCATGATTGTGGATTCCTTAGTTCAGTGCTCCAAGGGCTCAAATTGATGATGAGAAGGCGTCGTACCATAATATGGTATGACCTAATCCTATTATCTTCTTTGAACACGTATTTTGCCGGTCATCATTTTCCTGTTCAATTTAAGTTGCTCTACTTGACGTGACAGGCAGTAGAAAAAATGGAGGTTCATGCGATATAGTCACTGTTTTCTCGAGAATTAAGTGATATTAAAGAAGCTGTAGTGATTTTATTCCATGTACATGCGTAGAATACAAAAGCCTATGTACTTATCTGGACATACATGTATACCTTGGCAGAATCCAGTCCAAAACTTGGGTGTTATGGTACTGGAAGATGGATAATTTATATCCGAGAGAGTGGAGTGTGCTTTGTATTATCAATGATGACATCACTGTGAAATGAAGAATTATTAGGAGTGATGTGTATACCAGCTCAGATTTCTAATGCTGTGGGTGAGAAGGCAAGGATGATGACATGTTATTGGTAAGTCTTTCATATACACACACCGGGGGAGCCATTTTAGCCCGTGTGTTAGTTGATGCAGGTCATCAGAAGGCATCAAAATCCATATACGTCTGTGTGTGTATATGAAAGACTTACCAATAACATGTCAAGGAGGGAGAAGCAACGGACGGACGCAGAATAAGCTTTGATATTAGTCATGTTACTGTGACCCACACCTTTGCCCACACAAACAAACACTGAAACAAAATGCATGAATAAATGAAAGCTAGCCAAACTGAGTGCACTCAGATCCTGAATGGTACAATTACGTGCACTCCCAACAGATAGAGATCCCCAGACGGGAATGTTGTGCATGCTGCAGTTAACAGCTAAGTCGGAATCTGTTCCGAAACAATCTTGCCATGAACACGCCCGCCCGCCCGCCCTTCTGTCAGCTTAGAGGGCTGGGCTTCTGAAGGAAAGGAGCAGGCCTCACGTACGTGAACCCTGCAAAGTCGTTCTCTCCGGCGACCGGGCTTGCGACCGGCGAATCCAACACCGACATGCTCGTCCATCGCTCGTCGAAGTTGGCGATGCAGGTCTTTCCGGCAACATTAGGCCGGAAGCTAGGCAGGATTTCACGGGCCTCCAGTTTTCGCCAGTAGATCGATTTGAACCACTTATGGTTCTTTATCTCGTTGCTCCCACCAGGGCCACTCCCGAGCCGCTTGCTTGCTTCTTTCTGCAACAACTGGGGGGAAGGAACAAGGAACAACCTAAGAAATCTTTGATGGTCCTTCAAAGATTAGAAGTTTAACAGTGATCATGGAGGATGTTTGAGGCAAAGTGCAAGAGCATAGACTACTTCTTACGCCTTTCAGTAAGGAATGGGCTTCGCTGGACAAGTAAGCAGGCAGCTTTATCTTCTCCCTCATTATCTTCTGTTGCATTTTCTCTCTGTTACTACTGAAAAAAGGTGGCTGCGAATGTAACAAGTGTATTCTGACGTGAGACATTATACAAGGACAACATAGGAAGAATGAAGACTAGATTCGAACAGAGAGTCGGACCTTCCCAGTGAGCATCTCGAACAACAGGATTCCAACACTCCACCAATCAGCAGCTTTGTCATGGCCTTTTCCGAGAACGATTTCAGGAGCCATGTACTCGAGCGTCCCACAGAGGGAGTTTGATCTAGTATTTTCATCAAACTCTTTTGCCAGACCAAAGTCAGTTAACATGGCCTGAACGGAAAAAATTCATGTTGAGAAAAAACAGGAAGAAGGTGCAGATTGGGAAAATGGGAAAAAAAAAAGAGGAAGACAGATATGCTCACATGACCGTCTGCATCGAGGAGAATGTTCTCAGGCTTGAGGTCCCTGTGCATTATACCATTCGCATGAAGGTGGGAAACAGCAGATACTATTTCAGCTGCATACGTGCGAGCAAGATCCTCTCTGATAATGTAACCAAAAAGTTAGGTTCTACTTTAATATGCTTCCAAGTATTGCTTGCAAGCGTTAGTTTGAGAAACATAAATTACCTGAACAAGCCATGGTTATAGAGCTGAAAAAATAGATGTCCTCCATTTATAAAATCGAGCACAAGATATAGGCGGTACTTTGTCTGCACAGTAGGATAAAGTATATAAAGGAGGATGAGTTTAGAAGGCCATGACAGAAACTCTCAGTTGGTAAATATCTTCATCAGAAAGCGTTTATGATCAACAGGTCTTTCGAGTAACCAGAAGCTGATAGTGTAAAAAAAAACCCTAGTATCAGTTAGTGTCCTACACACACATAACGGATCGTTCTTGTGCCTTTGTTGGTTACCATAATGATTGTTACAGATGCTGTAATACATAACCTAGATAAGTAAACAAAGATGATGCTTGTGCACATAATGCAAGAATATTCGAATCGCTAAGATTGGCTTCATAGTTACAAAGGCTATGGCATGAATTACAGTACTGGGAGTTGGCAAACAACAAGCTCCCATAAGTTTCCTAAGATTTGGCTTCACTGGTTGGACTTTCTAATGTCCAATTTCATGTGTCATCTTACCATAAGTTTCTATTGCTCATTGTTTGAACAATCTTATGAATGGGTCCAAAAGAGTAAGTTGATCTTGTAGCCTTATATTTGGAGGTCGTTCATGGGGATACGAAACATGATTTTGTCATGATTGCACATCAAAATATACTGCTTAACTTCATGCGGTTTGCTGCATATGAGGACGGCCTTAGTTGGACAATAAATTGACCCTTATGCCTGAGCAACCCAATTCTTGAGGTGCTGTATCATGTCATTAACAGACTGCTTCAATATCAAAAAAAGGTAACAGATTTTACAAGTTATGCAACTTATAACTTTCATGAGTGTATTACTTTCAAAAATTTTAAAAATGAAAAGAAGTTCCACTTAATTTTCCCCCTAGATGTAGTAGCAATGGAATAAAATCCTGTATAAAAGGGTGAAACCAGTGCCTGAGGTTCCTACCAGTACAGGGTTTGGGGACAATCACTATACACATCAAATATTTTATAGTGCATAATATTCAGTATCCGGAGATTAAAATTATAATAATAGAACAATGGTCAATATTCTATTCTAGCTCTCAGCACCTATGAATCAAAATTCAGAAACGATCAAGGAAAATTTCACACCTGGAATGAGTATCTTAGTTGGACGATGAAAGGGTGATCAACTTTTGTCAAAATATCTCGCTCAGCTTTCATGTATTCAGCATGGTTCTTTTCCATAATCTTATCCTTCCGCATAACCTTCATCGCATAGATTTCAGAAGTGCCTCTCTTTTTCACCTGAAAGACTTTTCCAAATGCACCTTTCCCAACTAGCTTCAAAACCTCAAAGTCTGAAAGCCCTATGACCTCACATTTTTCAGATATTGAATCATGCGTCTCCGTAAAAGAGGTGGATGACTCCAGATCACCAGTCACTTCAGACGCACACTCCAAAAGTTCCAATGAATTGTCAGTCTCATGTATTGTGAGTTTACTGAGCTGCAAGGACTGACTAACTGGAGTTGAAGGCCCCACCAAAGAATGTGATCGCTTGTAAATGACCACTGGATCATCATAAACTGTCTCATTTGGAACCGATTCAGGTGCCTGATTATCAGGATTCATAACATTCACGTTAACTGAGGTCTGAACAGGGCCAGGACCAAACACATCAGAGAAATCAAACTCCACGTTCTCAGATACCGCAACATCAGGGGGGCCTGTTGGAAGAAGTATCTCCATGTTTAAGTTCTTGCGACCGGTGATTTTGGTCACACTATTCATCTCAGAGGAAACCATATTTCAAAGTGCTAATCAGGTTTTGAATTTGGTGCAAGTCGCCGAAATTCCCGTCCCTGCTAAATCTGGCCTCCTCCGCAAGTCTCAAAGACAACCGATGATGAAGGATTCCTGACAATGGCCTTGAATAGCTGGAAGTCCACACGTACAACAGGAAATCCCAGGAACCCAGGGAGTAAGCACACCAAAAGACCAAAGTTGCTCTTGTTTCCCGATGTGCAGGAAACAGTAGATGCTACTGTGCTTCTTGAATTCATTAAGATTAAGTTGTCCAGAGCTGATTAACAGATTGAAAAAACCATGAGTTGTCAAGACAAAGAACAATCTGAGTTTGACCGAAAAGCATGCTTCTTACAGTGAACCATTCATTTGCTAGAACTACATAAATGAAGTTCCTCTTAGCAAGAAAATCAGATGCTGGACCAAGGTAATCAATTTCCAGGTAAGTGTTATTAGTGTAGACTAGAGGGAAAGTCAATTTTCAACTAAATTTGGACTGAAATTTCTCATAATTTTGAGATGATTGGAAGAGGCTTCCATCATTACTTTTGTTAACTATTTTAGGTAAATGTTTAAAGTCATGTTTTGTGTTGTATTAAGGTCTACGAGTCACGATTTGGGTATAATTTGATTAGATTTGAGCAACGAGAGTCTACGGGAGGCAATAAAGCATCAAACCTAATGAAAAATTTAGACAGAGTTGAAAGAAACCAACACCAAGGTGTCTTAAATAAAACTGAAGACCCCATTGATATAAAAGAGATGAATCAATAACTCAAATAATAAGCAGATAAAAAATCGATGATATCAAATTGTCATAATGTCTGACATGTCAGCCAATATCTACATTTACTTTATGTTGGCTCATTAAAAGAACCACCATAGCAATTGTGAGGCATTAAATAAACTCCAACTCTGGATTTGCACCAGAAAATGAACTTGAAATGGGTACAATAATAAATTCGAACAAGTGGCAATAGATCAGGTACCAAGAGAAGTAAGCAGAAACGTTAGATTTTATCGTGAAGACCTAAATTTCAATGACTTGTGAAATAAAAAGAGCCAAAAACTCACGAAAGGAAGCGGCACTCGTACGGTTCTGATACCTCCATCCGAAATTGAGAAAGAAGGAGGAGAATCCGTAGCCTAAACTTCCTCGTTAGGTGTTCCAAGTCCACTACAGTCAGATCGAAAGAACAAACGGAATATTTTCTACATATCTTAGGAAATCCTTTCCAACTGGCATGACAAACCCCCTCTTTTCCTCCATCAACACCAAGATCCCATGTTTTCTTTCTCTATATAACCGTTCCCAACCAAGATCAAAACATCAGAAAACACATCGCATCATCCAGCTTCCTCCAACCCATCGACGGACCCCGAATTCAACCACAAGAAGCCCCAATAAAAGAAGAAAAGCTTCACAACAAAAAAGATCCGCACAAAGAAACAAGATTCCTTCACCGAATCCTCAGGAGATTATGTGAAGGGAGCGGATCTGAGGGGGTCACCAAGAAAAGACCCAAGGATCTCGATCCGGCACAGAAACCCTAGCCCTAAGCGCAACAGATTACACCACAAGAAACAAGCAGCAGCGGGAGGAGGGAGGGGAGGGGGGGGAGCGAATTCCCATACCTTGCGAGGGCGAGCGACGATCGGGAGACGGGAAACCGCTGCGGGGCGATCGAGTGGCGGCCTCCGACGGTCACTTTATATTCCCCCATCTATAAAGAAAAGCCAATCAGGCGTTTCCGTGAACGAGCTGAGCTCCGAGACGACACGTGGCGCTCCCTGAATGGAACTGATGGTTGAGCGCGTGTGAACACGCGCAAATCCTGGCTTGCCCTTCAACGAAGCGGCGACGGGTACCACTATGCGGACGTGCGCACGAAATAATCTATCCGGATCCACCCTTTATCCGTGGGACCAGCTTGAAGTTAAATCTAGTCCGTCCGTTGCTGATCCGTCCGCGCGGCGAGAGGTCGTCGTGGTTCCACGCATAAGATTTCTATGGAAGCATTCGGATGGTGATGTGGATGGGGGCGGCTTGGGTTCCGTGGCCGAGCGCGGATTTAGACGCCAAAGCAATTTTGATTGACGACGGCGGGTGGGAACAGCACGCTATCTTTGCGATGGATATGGCTTTATGGGGTGAGGGAAGGATATGTGCTAAGATATCCACTAGCGATTAGTTTTCTATTTTTTTATTACTTTTCTTTTAAGAAAAGAAAAGAAAAAAAGGAATATTTTTTCAATTAAGCCTTTCTCTTTATAAACAGAATTAAAATATGTCTATTATGTCGATGAATTGAATTGAATTTTCAGTGAATTGAATCGACTCGAGTCGTCGTGTTAGATCCGATCCGTTATACTATTTTGTCAATTCAGTAATTAAAAACATTGTAACAAAATAATATCATATTTTTATTTTTTATTTTCATCGTATAGTGAACATAAATATTAAAAGACTTTTGTGAATATTTATATATAGGTTTAAGACAAAGCGAAAAAATTGTTTTGAAATATATATATATATATATATATATATATATATATATATATATACATATATAGCAAAACAATAGATTTGAAAAAAAAAAACTATTATTAGTCATGCAGCATTAATCTATAAAGTAATTATTAGCTAAGAAACAACAATATAGCTACAAAATATATTTCTATGCAAATCGTGATATGGTAGTAAAAAAAAAAGAATTACGACTAAAAAATATATAAAACTACCAAAAAATAGAATCATTGCCTTATTCATAAGTAAATTAATCGACCTTATAGCTATAACTATATTTGTATACAAATGGTGCAACGTCAAATAATCCTAACTATGAACATAATTACCAAAAATAAAAAATACTAACTTGTTCATATATTAAATAATTATATTTATTCTAAATATGTGTCTAATATATTTTTAAATTATTCAAAAAAATAATTTTAAAAACTTACAAAAGTATAACTTTTCTTTAATTGGCCCATGCAGGTTTCGAACCTGCGACCTTCGCGTTATTAGCACGACGTTCTAACCAACTGAGCTAATAGGCCAATACATTAATTTAATTAATTAAATATAATTTATATAGAGAATATATTTTCTAAAATTACAAATATTTTCTAAAATTACAAATATAACTATATTTGCATACAAATCGTGCATTCCTAAGTATGAACAGAATTACCAAAAAAAAAAAATACTATCTATCTTATTCATATGTAAATTAATTATATTTATTCTAAATACACGTCTAATATATATTTTTTTAATTACTTAAAAATAATTTAAGAAATATAAATTTAATGTAAAATGGCCCATGCAGGTTTCGAACCTGCGACCTTCGCGTTATTAGCACGACGCTCTAACCAACTGAGCTAATAGGCCCATACATTAATTTGATTAATTGAAATAATATAAATAGATAATATATTTTCTAAAATTACAAATATTTTGTTCACCAATATGAACATTTACTAAGGTCATTGCATTTGCAATTAGTTTCTTTCCTGCCTACAAAATAGAACCCATATTTTTCTGAAAGATTGTGTACTGATAAATGATTGATATTATCGATTACATGTAATACCAGCATGTCTTTTTACTACTTCATCAAGTTTCATGCTGTTCTCTTGCAGATTCATGGAGTAAAAACCTTTGAAGGTGATAAGAAAAAAGATTAGATTCTATCATATTGTTTTTTCTGGTTATCCTTCAGATTATATCAACGATAAATCGTGTACAATTTGGCACAAACCGTTTCTTTCTATTCTCTTTATGTTTCTTCATCTCTAAAACATTAGCATATAACGGTATATCAGTATTCATCGAAATAAGTTTGATACCTGAAATAACGATCCTTGATAATAAATATAAATGGAGCAAACGAAATTAAGGTTAAGCGACTCAAGATCAATACAATGCATCTTATTTGAGTTCGTGAATATTTTACCATCATTGAATTATTAAACCTTTTATTTGGTTAGTCAAGAAGTTTATCATCATCCTCCTTAGCTCAATAGTTTCTTTATAGGGTTTGCTTGTTTAATTTATCCTAAAGAAAAACAAATATTGATTATTGTTGAAGATCACGATTCTCTACGAGAATACTTTGATCATAGATAAAAATCTATCAATCATGCATTTCATCAAATCGAAATTGAAAATATATCTTATTTGGAGAAGGAAGATTGTAATTATCGAAATGCCTTAGTTTATGCACCGTATGATTGTTATACTTTGTAATCTTTTTTATTTAATATTCAAAAATCTTAAATATAAAAAGAAAATTCTAATGATCGATATGTCTCAATTTATGGTATATTATATTTCATTATTTTCCTAAGTTTCCTTTTAACTCAATATGAAGATATATCTTATTCGGAGAGAGAAAAGTTATAATGGTTGATATGTTTTGATTTATGAAAATTTATTGTTTCTTATTTTCATAAGTTGCCTTTGTATTCTTGTACTTGAGGTCTATAATAAGTGAAACAAAAATTAACTATATACTATAATTTTTTTTTTTTTTCAAATTATACGAATTCATTCCATCGGTTTTTATGTCGAGCTAAAGTAAATCGGTTAGCAATATCTTTCTTTTTATATTATTTCTTGTCTTTTTATATTATTTCTTGTCCTTTACCTTCAACATATTATAAGTTTGGTATCTCATGATTTAAAGATTTGTCGGAGGAGATGTTGATTAGAAGAATAGAGCATAATCTATTTCATATATATCATTGTACATGGATTGATGTAGAACATCCCAATGTTCCTATTCACCGATGCCATAAATGTGGCACCAATATCCAAGGCAAGATTTGTTGCCGATCTCGTTCATTAGAAACCATATATTTAGAAGTGAATTATGATTCTTTTATCCCTCCTCTCTGCAGGATAAAAATATTATCTTAGGATCATTGGAGAACAAATCAAAGAGTTAGTGGTTCCTTTGACGCTCGTTCATCATCTTCTATGAATCAAATGACTAAAGTGCAAAATGATTCTGATCGTAAACATCGAGCTGAAGAGAGGGAGAAGTTCTCAAGAATTCGTCGTCACCAAGGTAATGAAAGCTTCAAGTCGATAGAGGGAGGACGAGACTCTACGAGATCTTTCGAGAGAGGGAGCACTTCACAATCAACCTCCACATATTCTAATCCCCATTTTAGCGATGCCCCTTCGAGGGATGACAGGTGCACTGTTCTTCCTCCTCGTATACGTACGGAACTGTCTCGAAGTACTTTTCGACGTAGAAAGTTTCAGGATTCCATAGACACCATCGAACGTAAAGGAGAAGGGGTAAGCAAGATGAGTACAGGAGAACAGGTTCACGTCGATGACAAGTTTGTTTCGAATACGATCGAGTTATCTATGGTAAACACAAGGCGTGAAATGGGAGATTTGCCTCTTGATTCAGAAGACATTCACTCGTCGGAGCCCAAAAATAATGAGTCTGTAGAGTCTCTTTCGAGTGACGCAGAGTTCCTCGATACATCCAAGCACATCCAAATGGAGATATCGAACACATCCATTAATGGTTTCCTACACACGATATTTTCATCTTTCATGAATCGAAGGTCTGTTTGCGAAACGAAAGATGAAGTGCAGGATGTAACATCTCCAAACAATTGCTGTGAGAAAGGAAATGAAGAACGTTCCGTCGAAGAGCAAGGCATAGTGTCACGGAGTCTTGTGCCTACCGATGAAAGAAGTGGCATACACATCCCGAGTGAGAGAGGACGAGACTCTGCAGAATCTTCTGAGGCGCATGGAACTGACAAAGGTTATCGTGGTGTCAACATTTCACGATCAACCACCACAAACTTTAATGCCTGTGATGGTAGTGTCTCTTCCACCGATGATGGTCGCAGTGTTCTTCCACCTCATATGCGTATGGAGCTATCTCGAAGAACTTTCCAACTTGCTCCTCATAAACGTACGGAGTTGTCTCGAAGAACTTTTCGACAAGGAAAGTCTCAGGATTCAGTAGACAGGTTTCTTCCAAATTCAAATGAGTTATCCGCGATAGACACAAGTCAACTAATGCGAGGTTGCTCTGTTGACTTTGAAGATTCAAAAAATGAAGAGCTTGGAATGTCTCTTTCCGGTGATGCAGAGTCTCTCAAGAGCTCAACCGATGATCAAATGGAAATGAGTAAGGTTAGTGAATCGAGGGAGGAAATCGACGAAATGTACGATAAATCTGACGAACGCGAGGGAAGATTTCCCCTCGGAGAAGAGAAGCCTACTCCACAGCTTGATCTAAACTGCACTCGATTCCCCTCTATCAAAGCAAGGCGTCGACTAATGCGAGATAGCTCTGTTGACTTTGAAGACTACTACTCGATGCAGAATTGGTTGGATTCAAAAAATGAAGAGATTGCAATGCCTCTTTCCGGTGATGCAGAGTCTCTCGAGAGCTCAACCGATGATCAAACGGAGATGATGAGTAAGGTTAATCAATCGAGAGAGGAAATCGACGAAATGTACGATAAATCTGATGATCGCGAGGGAAGATTTCACCTCATAGAAGACAAGCTTGCTCCACAGCTTGATCTAGACTGCACTCGATTCCCCTCTCTCAAGGCTTCAAAGAAAGGATAAGCGAAAATTAAAACATTTATTTTATTTTTTTACTTTAATAGAAAGTGATTCTTTTGATGTCACCACTCACAATCATACGTTGGAGGAAGGCTTATAATATAATGAATGCTGCGTTCCTTAGTCAAGTTGCCCTAATACTGTCACCTTTTATAGGAGACTCATGACTCATTCCATGTTACGTGCATGGCATTCACACGTCTCCCGTTAACCAGCATGCTTCATGTCGTCACTTAAGTCACAACTTATGCTGCTGTCATCGATAGCTATACTGTTCCTCGTAGGAATAGATTACTTGCTGTAATTGACCGTACTAATTGAGCTAATAAGGATGCGAAGCAGCGAGAGAATCGTACAGACACAGCATGATTCGTTGTATTCAGCAAGTGGTCAATTCAGCCAAGCAAAGAAATAGAGATGGAGTAAGATGGGTGAGATCAGGATGATGCACTCACTGATTAGCCTCGATCTCGAAGCAGGAGTAATATATAGTGATCTCCTGCCAGCAGCCGGATGATGGAGACGAAGGCCATGGAATGAATGAATGGGGCTTACCTGCATTGGAAGGCAATATGGCAGCAGCTCTACGTTAGCTATCCGCCAAAAATTACATCTAATCATGAAATAGAAACATGTGAGAATTTATCAGTTTATTTAGCCCTAAAAATCAACGTTTGATACATGAATTATGGATTTTTTTATCTCAAGAAATACACATCAATATAACTACAAACGTCGTGATATTAGTGATGGACATGTTTGTAATTTCAAACATTACTATTATTTATTTATAATATTATTTAACAATTAATTCATCGGCCTATTAGCTCAGTTGGTTAGAGCGTCGTGCTAATAACGCGAAGGTCGCAGGTTCGAAACCTGCATGGGCCATTTCATATTAAATATAATTTAATATGTTTTTATTAAATACATATTATATTTATTGTACTTTATAAGGCAGTTTACAATATTTTAATTATTAAAACTATTTTCAATAAAATATACTAATTTTTTGGTAATTTTGTATTTTTTTGACACGTAGTTCCTTTTTTTTTTACTACCATAGAATGAATGATTTTTCTAACTATATTGTTCCTTTGCTAATAATTACTTTATAGAATAATGCTACTAAGCTAATAATTGTATTTTGTTTTGCACCCAATGATACAGATTTAGTTCCATGGAATGTAGAACACCTCTTGTAATTGCATAGTGCAAGATTTTGGATCTATTTCTTTATATAATATGAATTATCATATCCTTGCTAATGTTTTTGCGAATCGTTTGAAAACCATTCTTTCTTATATAATTTTTATGAAATAATTTATTTTTTATCATATAGAAAGAAATATTGATGATAATGTTCTTTTGATTATAAAGGTCAAATGCATTTTTTCCCTATTTTTTAAAGTATATTTTGAGTTGTATTTCCTCTCTGATCTTATATGATAATTATCATATCCTGGCTAAACTAATCAACCTTATATGTAAAATAACATATATATATATTTAATATATTTGTAAAAATATTTTTAATCAATATAGTTACAATCATATTTTTATACAAATCATATAACATCAATCAATTCAGAGTCTAAACATAATTACCTAAAAATATAAAATCTTATTCATATATAAAATAATTATACTTTTAAAGTATATTTATTAAAAACATATTAATATCGAATGGCCCATGCAGGTCTCGAACCTGCGACCTTCGCGTTATTAGCACGACGCTCTAACCAACTGAGCTAATAGGCCGATATATTCATTGTTATATAATATTATAAATAAATAAGACTCTATTTTGAAATTACAAACATACTAGAATTGACCGTCGCGGTTGCGTGGTCATAGATACTACCGACTACAGTGCGCTCGAGAAGCCTTTCTCCTCTCCGCACCTCTTCGTTCTCCTGTTTCTTTCTTCCCTTCTTCTGAGGTCATCTTAAAGTAGACGACGACGACGACGACGACGAAGAGGGGTTTCAAAGAACCGCTGATCTCAAAGGTCTCTTCTTTATCTTCCTCCATCACTACGTCTCTGTTTGGCTGAATTGATCACTTGGATTTTGTTGGTTGAGTACCGAATACATCGATTCTTGCTGCGTTTGTATGATTCTCTCTTTGCTTCTCATCCTTCTTATTAGCTCAATTGGTGGGAGTTTATGTGTTCCAGCCTAAAGACTTATTTGGATCTTTCGAACCCATGATCTTGCCATAAAACTAAGATTGCTGTGTTCTTGATTGATTGGCGAAGTTAAGAGAACAGGAAAGAATAAAAAATCTGGATGATTGTTGTCCTTTCTCTTTTCCACTTCGATGCCTCGCTATCACTTGAATTATTTACAGGTTTTAGAGTGTATTTGCAGATTTCATAAGTAGTCATATGACATCTTCGATGCTTACAGTTTGGTTTTCTTAATTACTCAACATGAGAAAAAAAAAAGGCAAATGGAAAAGTAAATAGTAAAAAGCAAATGTAATTTGAAGCCATGTCTTATTTACAGGAAAAAGGTGATAGTGATTTATATGAAAGAGATGTTATTATGTAATGATTATACTTTTCTTATTTCTACAAGTTTCTATTTTGATCTTCTACTCGAGTTCTATAAAAGTTGAAGTGTATATCAGAGATAATTCTTTTTGATGTTATGAATTCATCATTCATTACTATTAGTGTTCATCTTTGATTTATGGAATGCTAATTTTTCCCTTCACAATGTATTGTCTCCTCTTTCTACGGATCGAGATGAAGTGCAGGATGCAGTGATTCCAAGTGATTGTTGCCAGAAAGGAGGTGAATTGGAGCATGAAGAAGATTGCATCGAAGAGAAACTTCCGAGGATTACCACGGTGGAGATGTCAATACCACAGATTCTACTCCCTCTGATGGCATTGTCTCTTCTGGCAATGATGGTTGCAGTGTTTTCACGCCTCATAAACATATGGAGTTGTCTCGAAGTCTGAAGCTTCGATGGACACTGATACGCATAAAGAAGAACGGACGAAGAAGATGACTGCACATGAACGGCTTCAAAACGAGTTGTGTGCAGTAAACGACAGGCATGTAATGCGAGATAGGTGTCTTGACTCTCAAGACTTCCATTCGGTGCAGAGCTGGTTGGAAGCAGAAAATGATGAGCCTGTGAAATCGTCTCTCTCGAGTGATGCAGAGTTCCACAGCAGTTCGTACGATGATCAAAATGGCAGTCCATCAGATGGGCTCGTCACGCTCGAGCACATTCGAATGGAGATACTGAGGAAGGCTGATGAGTTGAGAGAGGAAATCAGCGAGGTGTTCGACAGATCTGAGGAAGGCCAGGGACGATTTCACCTCACAGAAGAGAAGCTTCCTCCTAAAGCAAAGAATGTTCCTCGACCACACCGGTTCACAAACCATCTTCCAAGATCACCCCATGTCGCTTGCTTGCATTGCCGTCATGGAGAGTGCCACCGAACATCTGTGAAGCCCACAACCAAAGCTCGGATTGAGCATGAAGAAGCAGGGAGCAGGCGGCGGATGAAGCGACATTGTCGTCCTGTTTTAGGTGGAGCTCCCTTTGTCGTCTGCTACAATTGCTTGCAGTTGCTGATGCTCCCCTTGGATTTCTTCATTGCAAGGAGAAGATTGTGCAAGCTGCAGTGCGGTGCTTGCTCAAAAGTGCTCATGTTTTCCTTCAGAACTCGAAATCGCGGGGTCCCTTTCGTGCCAATCGAGGAAGAGCAACCAACAAGCGAGGTGGAGACAAGTGCAGATGCTACTCTCGGACAGGAGATATCGAATTCACCATCGAATGATAGCTCTCGCTGGGACTCACTTTCTTGCTCAGATGAGAATGGACTCTCTCTTGGCATCAGCTACTCCACGGATGTCGAAAGGAACGATAAGCTTCCGCCATTTTTGCAGCTTCATCAGCTTATGGGCTACGGTTCGGCTACTGAGTTCTTATACCGGCACAGCGATGTTATGGATGAAGAACTTGAAGCAACTGAACCGAGCACACCACACCGCAGTAGTCCTGAGGAAGAGGAAGCGTACGTTGGAGATGGAATCGAGGAGACAGCCATTGAGGGAGACGAGTCAGCAGGGCGATCGAGAACCAGAAAACCTCCACTGCATGGATTGCTGAAGATCATGAAGCTGAGGATCCAGAAAACCGGAAGGAAAAACTCAGATTAGCAATTGGAGGAACGCAAGCCATGAGACTGCTTTCGAACATGTATAGGTTGTTCATCTTTCTTGTTCACTTGGTTTGGTTTATGGAGGCTATTTGGGGTGACATCTCAGGCTTCATCGACTCTTGACACATCGATGTCTTCCATTAGGGTAAGAGCACAGAAGAATTCTACAGAGTGGCCTGTACATAAATAACTGCATTCATTTCCTATGCATGAATTACTCAAGTTGGATATGTTTCAACTCATGCCTTCTGCTGTATGATTATTAAATTCTTCAAGTTAAGACGTATAATATTACTTCATTTTTGCTATGGAAGTTTAGAATTTGAAGAACTATATGTGACTGCATCAAGAAATAAAATATGTGACCACATAAAAAAAAAAAATTATATTGAGGATAAATAAGCCACATCATGTTTAGGATTTGAAAGATTATAGGAAGAACAATGAGAGAACAAATATATTTCTCTTTGTATGTAAAAAGAGAGCCAAGAGAGAAAAGAAACACAGCCTCTCAATCCTTTCAACAACTATGGACCATAACACACATAAATAAAGTGAGTAGATCAAGATCTGACAACCCAGCAACAAGTTTCTATTTTCTAATGGCAAAGTGGATGAGGGAACCAACCTCTGACTATACATGATGCCAAAGAATGGAAAAAAAAAATTTATTCACACATTGTTAATCCTGAAAGACGACATCTTGCATCAACTTCGAAAAGAAACAGATAACAGATACATTTTGTAGCATCCCACAAGTAAATTTCAACAAGACAACAGCTTAACTAATTCAAGTCTTGCCTGGACCATATAAAAGATCACAATCCTTGAGAATGAACATAAATTTGCAGCTGGTGTGAGCTACTTGCACATCGATAATTTATTTGCAGAAAACATAGAGGTCAAAAAATTTCTAGTGCTAGTATTAGCACTGATAATGTCACACATCGAGCGGCAAAGGGCACCGATACCACAAGCATGAATTTATCTGCTGAAAAAAATCATACTACGTGCATGAGATTACAACATAGCATCTTACATCAAATATATAAAATACATGCAACCAGCCTAGCATAAAAAGAAAGTATCAATTGTTCAGCAGCTCTTAAATCCCCCGAGTTTGGGACAACAAGATAATCAGACAACATAAATAACCATCATGAGCTCAAGTCACCCAATCATACCGATAAAGAAAGGAGTTTAGGACAGCAATCAACAGAACTTCCAGTGGTTATTGCAGTTGACACATGTTACAAAGGTTGTCATTGGCTCATCAGCTGAACGAGTTTGCATCTGATAGTATGTGGTCTTCCTTTGGCCACATCGTCCACATTTGAACTGGTCAGTTGTTGCCTTAGGAGCTGCTCCTCTTTCACATTCAAATAAGGCCTTCTCTTTTATCTGCTTATTTGCACGTTTCCTCTCATCACTGGCCATATCTTCAGCCATCATATTAACTATTTCTTCAGGCTTCACATGCCCAAGGAGAACTCTTCTCCGGAAGTCTTTGTTATTGTTGTCCTTCAAATTGAACATTATGGATCTGTATTTATGTTTATGAGCACCAATTGAGGTGCCTAATTTCTCGAACAAAACAGATTCCAAGGCAACAGCTATATGAATTGGGTCACATGCATCAACTTCATCCTGGATGTTTCTCACTTCTTCTGTTTCGCTCTCAGCTGTTTCCTTAGAAACTCTTGAAAAGGCTTCTGCAAGAAGTTCCCGAAGTCTATCTCGCACAGGATTGTTACATTTCACGATTGATGCCAGCTTCAATGAGGCAGTGACAGTTGATGGTGGTTTTCTAGAAAAAATTTCCTGATTTTCGTCCTTGGAAACCCCTTCAAGATTCTGTTTTTCTCCTCCATTTATTTTCTCAAATTTGCTGGAATTGGCCGTCTTCTCTATTCTTACAGATTCAGTTCTGGACACTTTTCCATGCTGTATTTCCTGGTCAAAGTTTAACTTCTCAACCTCAACACTTTTAGGTTTTGACACAATGTTGCCCTCTAAGGATCCAGCTTTTGATATTTTCTGAGACTTGATTTTCACTGCTTGCTCAGTCTTCCTTTCAGCCTTCAAAAGAATTCTTTCCAGTGGGGTGTCAAGTTTTTTATTATCTTTAGATGTTTCCTGAATAACCACATTCTTCCAAAACTGCAGCAGATCAGTTGCCACTGTCCGAATCTTATCCTGGGAATGCTTTGTTAGAAAGCGAAGTCGTTTGCCAACCTGAAATATGACAATAATGAAAGATAAAATAAACTGAGAATACAAGCATGCAGACACGAAAAAAAATCAAGGTAGTTAAAAAGTCCTAAACGTTTGTAGTCGTTATCCAAATCAAGTTAGTTAAAAAGGTTGAAAGATGAAGCATGCACTACAAGGAGTAGGCAATGATGATTACTAAAAAAAAAATGACAATTCCACAAGATGATCATCCATGGAAACATCTGCTCAAAGCCAAATGATAGAGCAAACAAAGCAAACAAACTGAAGTTTCTTCCTTTCCAGTGCTCACAGCAATGAACACCATTCACAAGAAAATAATAGAATTCATGTGATCACCAAATATAAATTAACACCAAAGATCCGTCTCTGCTGTCGATTTCAATTGCCATCATCATCCAAGCCTTTTCAAATCAGTATAGTTATTGGTATAGAGAACGACATGAAGTTGACCGCCTATCCTCCTAGGTCAACTTTCTAGTTTCAATGTCAATTCTTGGCCAATGAAAAATTAGGAATAAAGTGATTTTCCACCAGAACCAATAAAGCCTGCTTGGCAATTTAAAATAATCTACCTCACCATTTACGTGGAGACAACTAAGAATGAGTATCCAACAGCAAAGATTGAGGATGAATGACAAGGGTCTGTTTTAGATTCCCCAACAATAAAATGATTATGGATACTAAGAAGTTTGTATTGAAGGAAATTACTTGATTGGAAACCTAAACTCCACAGTTTTTGGCATCCCATTTTTCAGGATGGTGCTTTTGAGCCTTCCAATGGTAGGGAATATAGGAGCTTCTTTTCCGTTGATACTTAGTGAACAATTTAACAAATCATCATACACATAGAAATCCATATATATATATATATATATATATATATATGTATATATATATGTATATATATATATATATGTATATGTATATATGTATATATGTATATATATAAATATATGTGTATATATATATATGTATATGTATATATGTATATGTATATGTATATGTATGCATATATGTATATACATATATATACACATGCACACATACACACAAATATAAGTAGCTAACGCAAAAACTTAGGATATATTGTTGTTATTTAACCAGTCACACAATAGCCCATTCCTCTTAACATTTCCACACATTAACATCCAACAAAGTCGCATCCAATCTGTGAATAACACTGCTATCAGTGTCTCTTTCTTCCCTTGCTTTTATATAACAAACAAATTCCTCATTCTTTTAGGAAATAATGTGAAGAAAATCAGAACTTGGAAAATTTCAGCAAATAGGAGTAGCAAGGACTGTCACAAAAGGTAAAATATCTCCTTGCAAACCAAAAGCAGTAAAAGTCTAGACAATTTAGTATAATTTACACCAGACTGTGAATAAGCGTGTCTCACATAGGGCAAAAACGTTATACAAATGCTATCTGATGCAATTCCTAGAATGTATATAGGCAGCTCTATGAGTCTCTAAGTCCACCATAGCAGAGACTGGTTATGTGACTATAAATAACAAGTTCAAGAATCTCAATATGATCATGAGGGATGAAGACTAAATATTTTTTTCTATAAGCTTCCTAGATCAAGTGCGACTCACTACCTTCGAATTATTAAAAAGAATGTGTTTTTAATTAATCTCTTCCAATCATCAATATTTCAGGAATCAGTACTTCTGAAAGTACGGATATCGTGAGAACAAAGGTAAAAGAGAAAAACGTCATAAAATCGTTCCATAAAGTTCAAAACTCCCCATTTGGATTTGCACCAGCTTCACATGTCACGGAAATACTCTTCCCCTTAACCTAGTTAATTCTTCAAATGAAAAGCCACACATCTCCAACAGCAACAATGTCAAAATAGGTTAAGAAATATACAAAGAACAAATCTTTCTCCGAGAAAACAACCGCAACTACAGATATCCGATCGAATACTTCTCTCAACATAAAATGTAGGGGAGGCAAAACCTGGGTAGCCACCAGATCCTTCGTCGTGACCGGCATCTTCTTCAACCGCCGGAGCGCATCGACGCACCGATCCACCTCCGACGACCCCCGGCCATCCTCCGCCGCCTCCGCGGCTTTCTTCGCGGCCTCGAACGTCTCCAAGAGTTCCGTCTCCATTAGGTTTCAGATCAAAACTCATAAACCGAAAAATTGGGGAGGCAATCGGATGAAAATCAAAGCAAAAACGACTTCGAAATGCAAAGAAAATGCGGAGACAGGTAGATAGACCACATAAACCCTAAACCATAAGAGTGCTGCGAGGGGGGAGCTTTGGATTTCTCGCCGCCGGTAAGTTACTCGTTCATTGGTCTCTCAGCGTGGAGCGTACACTGTTGCGTTTCAAAATATGTATTTTATATATATATATATATATATATATATATATATATATATATATATATATATATATATATATATATATATATAGGGTTATAGTGGCATACGCCGGAACAGGGCTGACCCGACCAAGCGTTATTGGGTCGGATCCAGAATTCGATCCGCTTATGGATCCGTATCGATATTTGATAACGGATCCAGAAGAACACGATCCGTGGAGGATCCAAATTGGTTTGAGCCCCACCAGCAGGTGCATCATCATCATTTTCTATCATATAATTTTGCTTGCCATTTGTATTAAGTTAATAGCAAAATTGCATCCAGAATTACTAGATTCCTATTTTGCTCCTCCAAATTTAAGTTCAGCATATGTATTAATATATATATCTTTATATGTTTACAACATTCGGAAACTTGGATATACACCATTAATGTCAATCTACCTCACTTGATGTTAACATAATAGCATTACATCTTTAATTCACATTCATATCATAAAAACAAAACATTGCATGCATCTCTCTTTTAAATCAGTAATTTTATATTTACCCCTCCAAATTCAAATTTATGAATACGAAACTGTTCGACAAATCTCGATTCCTCAAGAACTTTTTATGATGAAGGCTAGCTACTGGACTTGCAACAACTCATTGAAATCTCAGAATCAAACTTCATTAGTAATCTAATGTCTCTTGTTCTTACCACAGGAGACATCGAATACTAATCCCACTCGAAGGGATTGCGGTGTTTGCTGATGGCCAAAAGTGGAACAGATGTTTCTGTTCAAAAAGTGGAAGCAGACTGCATTGCAGCCATTCTGAACTTGCAAGTCATTGTTTAGTGCTGCTGTTTCTGCCTGAAGCTCCATGAAGGACAAGAAAGAAAGATTTTGTAGTCCACAGATTTGAATAAATAGCCAGTGCGTACAGTATTCTTCTATGTCAAGGGTGGGGTGGCCCTCCTGCATCAGGTGGTCCTCGTGGTGGGAACTAGAATTGCTTTCAGAGTTTGTTCCATTGTGATTTTCCCATCAGGAGAGGGCACAAAAGCAAGCCATTACTTTCCTGCGTTGACAGCTGAATCGTCCAGCTACTTGTGTTTGGTTGTAGGACTGGTTGAAGTCAGTTCACGGAGTTCGTCTCCTGGATATGCGTTGCTCGGCCTCCTTGCTTTGCACTATGTGATACGAACTGGCAATCTCGGTGCAGAAGACTTGAAAGAGAAATCCACGCAGTCACCTCGCAAGCATGAAGCGTTCGTTCATGGTCTGTTGGATGCTCCTTTTCACGACCTCAACACGGCCTTCTTCTTCTTCATCTCCTTCTCGGCAGGTGGGCGTGGGATGATAGTTACCGCTGAACTCCAGCAAGGTGGAATGGCATTGTCATCCGTACCATTTGATGTCTCAGCAATCAGCATGGTTCTGATGACAGAGTCAGCATCATCTTTGTGGCTTCCTCCATCAACAGCAGCAACTCTCATCAGCATGTGAAGCAGCCTCTCGGATTCTTCCGAGAGATGCGTACCAGAGAGGACCGGTTGATATGGTTCCTTTACTTCACACCGGAGGCCTGCTGCATTTATATATGTACAAGAGAGATCGGAGAGGATGACCCGTTGCCACGTAAATATTACGTTCTTATTATGGAGCATAAAGTGGCTGGTACGATCATAGCCGTCCATCAAATGCCCCCACCGGCCATCTCGTCCATTTCAGCTGCACCGCACGTTGCTTGCAACCCACCGCAAATCCCAAGTCCCCAACTACCATCACATCACCATCCCCACCCCTTTCCAAACTTTATATCTCGTGCAATTCGATTGATGTGATAGCCGGATTCATGGTAAGATAATATATTGAATGGGCATGATCCATCACCTCCAATCGACGGCCGTGATACTGTGTTTGACGACCGCGATCTCCTCGTAAAATAACACCCGCAGCCAATCCCCTCTCGCGTTCGTGCAGCCGATAAATATCCTCCCCCGTTGGGTCAACGCACCGAATCATGACCGTCCACCGCCGGGGCCGATCACGGGGACCGTCCAATGCGCTGGCGGACCAACCGCCACTACGCCATTCCCTGGCTGGGCCCCGCCGCTTGCACGGCTGAGATCGACCCCGGCGGTGCGGTCACCCCATGATGAAACTGACGCGTGCCACGCAGCTCGGGTTCACCGGAGGTCCTACGCGCTCTCTCCGATCGGACGGGCGGGATTCGATCATATTCGGTCATCAGGACCGTTGCGAGACCCGTCGTGAAGAGTTCGTGCGTGCGCTGGTATTAATTGTTGCATCGGCTTTCCCCCTTCTTTTTTATTTATTGGCTTCCTTTATTGGCTCTCCCTCTCTCTCGACTTCTTTACTGTTTGCAGGTCCTTTTTCTTCTCTCCTTTGACGGAGAAGATATCATCACCTCTGCATGAAAACTCCTCCTACCACTTCTCTTGAACCCTCCTTCGCCGCCGCCTTCGCCGCCATCGAGTTCGCGCGAGAGGATATGGGTTTCTTTCGAGGCGGCGGAAGTGATCGCCAAGGGAAGCAAAAGGAGGTATCTTGCCCGTGTACCTTGACTTGCAAGCGGGGGCATGAATTTCTTTTAGCCTTCTGCTTGAAGTATGACGGTTTCGAATTTTCTGGATGTGGTTTTAGTGAGGAGGACTGCGATTTGATCTTGCCGGGGGGGCGGGGGTGTGAGATTGGGAGGAATTACAGATGGCGACGAGGAGGTGTATGAACGCTGCGTGCGGGGTGACGGAGCCAGGGGGAGAGTGGAGGAGGGGGTGGGGACTAAGATCGGGTGGTTTTGCTATGCTATGCGTCAAGTGCGGGTATTAAAGTCTCAGCTTTCATGCTTATGTGAATTTGATATTGGGTCCATAAGTTATTTTGATAATTGGGCTTCTGAAGTACCAGTCGGAGGTTGTTCTATAATTGGTTTGGTCTGGCATTCGGAGTCAGGATTGAGGCTTTTGTTCTGCGATTTTGCTATCTATAATCCGATTTCTTCTGTAATTTTTCTTCCTGGTGGTATTTTTACTGAGTCATGTCATGCCAGTATGTATTTGTCAGTTTGGGCTGCTTAGAATTTTGTTAATTTCAGTTTTTTAGGAATTAAATAATTTCAGCTTTTATACTTGTTTTCAAATGGAAATTTGCCCTTGGGTGTTTGGAGTTTTGATTTTTTGCCTTTTTTTTGTTTAACTTGACCAAGTTTAAATGAATAAAATCAGGTACATTCTGTTTAGTCGTTTATAAAACATATCTCTAGTAAGATTATTAAGAATTTTTGTGAGATGGTGTTTTCTTGTAGGTCTTTGAATAATTTTTGAGTGTATGTTTTTGATGTGAAGTGTGTAACACGTGCTTTGTTGAGTGGAAATTATGGTGTCGGTGTTGCTGCAAAGTTAGCATGCAATAATTTGTGTTAAATTCTCTTTTTATTTGACTTATTCAAACTTAGGACGATATAAGTTTGCATATACCAACATTTCTGGCCTATTAAATTACAGATTTAGAGTTGATTATCTGCTGCAATACAGACAGCAACATGGACACGCTGTAGGAACAGAGATTTGAATGATTGTATTTGAATGTTTCAAGGAGTGATATCAGGTTAATGATTGTATTTGAATATTTGTTTGCAGAGATTTGAATTTTAAGAAGTTAGGCTTAAGTTCTTGTTACCATCGTGGAAGTTTGGTAGACTCACTATAAGAGTACATACCACATTTCACTGATCATGTGTTTGGAAATCTAATTCTAAGATAACTAAAATCACTACTAAAGTTAGGTTGCTGACATACACCTAAAAGACTAAAGGTTAATAATCTTTCTCTGTCATTGAACATGGTCATTGTATACATAATTTTTCGAGGAATGTTGCGCTAGGAGGTTATTATGTGCTACTGCTCGAAATGGTACTTTTATGTCATTGATACTCAAAGAGAGTATGTTATCACAAACTTGCAAGTTTAGACAAGCCGGTGATTCTTCGGAAAAAAAACTAGACAGACATATGAGACCAATGTTCTAGATTTTTTTAAAAAATTTTAAGTAAATCAATTTTTAGGCTGTTGATCTTTTGTCTTTGATGTGTAGTACAGTTGACATCTGAATTTTGGAAGCCATAGCCCTTTTCTTTGCAATATTGTAACTGTGTGGTTTTTGTTAATCCAGCTACTTTCTGACAGACTCTTTTGGCAATATGAATGTTGAATTTATGCTGTTACTATAATATTGTGATGTACTATACTTAAATCAGGTTGGCATATGAGCAATTAGCTTTCTGTGACATTTTTCACCAGAAAGAGTCTGGGTGGAGGGAGTGTTCTTCTTGTGGCAAGGTAATGTGGATTTGTAAGCTTGGGCATATATTTCCATGAGTTCTTCTTATCAACTATTTATGTATGATAGATGTTGCAAAAAATGTTACTTGCAGCGCTTACATTGTGGATGCATTGCTTCAAAATCTTCCTTTGATCTACTTGATATTGGAGGAGTTCAGTGCATTGGCTGCATGAAGAACCCTGAAGCACCTTTTGTAAGATCGTATATCTAATATAAGCTGCATGCAGAATATATGCTGCAATTGAGATATTAGTCTTCACTTATTTCTAACATATTTTTGCAATGCAGTACATGATCTTTGCTTAACTTCTTGTAACATCATCTGTACTGTGTACTAAATTTCTCCTTTCAGATGCCAAGTGAAGTAGTTCAAAATTTTTTGTCTCAACACCATCAAGCGGTCTTTGCTCTCTCAACTAGATGTTCAAAAGAAAATGATACTGATACAGCAGTAGTTAGTCGTGCCTGCGAAATGTCCACCACTACTGCTGATAGTAAAATTGATGTTGGTGCTTTTGTTAAGGGAAAGGGTATGAGCAATGTGGATGTAGAGCAGAGTGAGAGTGAAATCAGATCGTTTGGGCATATCAAGTGGGAGCAACAGTCTCCTGACATAGGAATTGCAAGTTTCTCAAACAGATATCAAGGTCCAGTAGTGTCTTCCCAAATATCCCAACTAGATGAGAAGGATTTTGTGATAGATAAGTCTATAAGTGAGTCACTAGCCCAGGCTTGTCTTAGTATGAGCTTGGGAAATACAAACCAAGGCAGCAACATGGAATCATGTTCTAGTGCAGAAAGGCCACTTCTTGCGCTCCCTATGGCTTGTTCAGTAGCTGAAGGAAAGGATGAAAGAAAATCGTTGTCTTTCTTTCAACAGTTGCCAAGGGCTCGTTTTCTTGCAAAGCCTCCAAAGACAAGTAATCGAGCTTTTTCAGATGCATCTAGGAGTGCACTTCCATATATGCGAGTTGCAAGGCCACCTGCCGAGGGCCGTAATCAATTACTTCCACGTTATTGGCCAAGAATTACAGACCAAGAACTACAACAAATATCTGGAGAGTATCCAAAAATTAAGTGCAGTAGCATGTGGATTGGCTGCTCTTTGTGATTTGTTATCATTAATTCATATTGACAGTTTCTTTATGTATCCTTAATATTCTCTGTTTTTTCCTTAATTCTTCTGTCCATGAAAGTTCAAATTCCACCATAGTGCCGCTATTTGAGAAGGTTCTGAGTGCTAGTGATGCAGGTCGTATTGGCCGTTTAGTTCTTCCAAAAGCTTGTGCAGAGGTAATAATCAAATTTGTTTGATTCAATTTCAACAAGTGTTGCTCTTTAATCCATTTGCCTAATTAGATAACAAAGTGGTCTTGGATAACCTCAGATGGAGAAATGACTCAAATTAGTTCTTTTAACATGTCATACTAAGCATTGCTTTATATCAGACTCGCCACGTTTACCAGGTCTTGTCATCTAGAATGTTACTTACCTCCTTGATTACCCAGATATTTCTGGCGGCATATGGAATTTTAGTCACTTTTGTGATTAGTTTGTTCTCTTGACTATATAGATATGTAATTGAAGACATTAAGATTTAACATCCACCACTACCTAGGTTTATTAAATTTTTATGACTGTTCACGTTTCGTTAAATGGATCTGATAGCCCTAGAATTTCAAACATCAGATATTATGAAACTTTTAGATATCTGGGGAGCTGCATATTTTATTTTCTAAGGACCCATTTCCCACCCTGCTTCTGACCTAGACATTCTGAGATAAGATGAGCCTTGTATCATAAGTGCTAACTGGGTAATTGGTAGCCAAATTGTATCTCTAAGTAGGGTGCACTTTTGTTTGTCTATTTCTTTTTTTGTATAATATGCTATCTTTTAGACATCTAGGGATCCAACGGAATTGTTAACTGTTACCTACTTGCTATTTGTATTTGTTAGATAACTCTATTTCTTTTTAACCTTTTGAGGTTTGCTTCCTTGGTGTTTCTTAAAGGCATATTTTCCTCATATTTCTCAACCGGAAGGTGTTCCATTAACAATTCAAGATACGAAGGGCAAAGAATGGCATTTTCAGTTTAGATTTTGGCCAAATAACAACAGTAGAATGTATGTCTTAGAAGGTGTTACTCCTTGCATACAGTCTCTTCAGCTGCAAGCTGGTGATACAGGTAATTAGATTTCATGCATCTCCTTCAAAATATTGCTCAGCATATGTGAAGGCTATAGACACCATTTCACTATGTTTCCAAGCTAAATTTTGAGAAAGATATCTATCCCAAGTCATCCTTGGACGAAGCATACTTATTTTTTTCTTGTGCGAAGACAGGAATCAATCCTTGCTCAAGGATCATAAAATAAACAATAGAAAAGGGAAATGAGGGCAACTAGGAACATGCTTATTCATAATTATCTCATGTAAGTGGTAATTTTAATGTGGCCGATTTACCCTCCTTTGCAATCAGTTTCACTTCAGCACCTGCTGTTGAGCACTAGATATGTCACATCCTGTCTGTTATTCCAGATTTCCAGAAGCTTACTAAATGCATAAGCAATTATGTTTTCTTCTTTATCTTCAACAATTAATAATGAGAAGATGAATTGTATGTAGAGATTCTCTTGGATTTAACTACAGTATGATGTTTGTCTAACTTGAATGTCATGCTGTTTAATGCTTGAAAGCGCGTCCGCTAACAAGGAACTGGATCCTGTTCCATTGCTATTAAATTAATCGTGCTTAAATCTTACTAGAATATTTCGGCATTTTGATTCTCCCAACACATAATTTTAGCAATATGGAAATGTCAGGTTCACAACTTCCATTAACAATGCACATCTTGTCTTCATATTGTTTATAACCTTATATATCATGACTATGTTCTTTCTGTAAGGCACTGGATGATTAATTTATTAGCTTCATGCTACATCATCCACTCAAATGCTATGCTCAAGGTTGAATGGTGACTATATAAGCATTCATATTTTTATTTTGTTGAAAAAATCTCAATAATTAGTTTTGAACACATTGTTTGCAAATTTTCATTAAAAATATTAAATAAGGGTTGATTGTTATTATGTTTTCAAGGGCTCATATCTTTTTTGGCATTGGCCATAGTATCAAAGATGGTGCGACAAACTTCCTTGTTAATTCTTTATTTGCTTTGATAGTTCTTATTGATCGTGGGAATTGTCTCAAGTTATTTCTCTTACATTGAAATGCATATTTTATAGTTCAATATAATAGTAGGGTTAGCCTTATAGAAAACCACTAAGTTTTTCATGTGAAATTTAACACACTAAAATACAACTCAGAGCAAGAGCATTGTGTGCTAAATGTAGCTCCAAGAAAGAAAACTCATTAGTTATTCACCATGAGTTAATAACCGATAATGCATGCACAGTAGGTTTACACCACCCATATGAAGTGAATATAACAGAACTATTCCATGATTATTTAGAATGGTGAATTTTTAATTGAGATTGACATTTATCTTTGACTTGTGCATTTAATATCTAGGTGATTCTTCCAACCCCCATCTCGATGCGCATTATGTTTGTATTAACTATTTTTAGAAAAAAAATTAGAGTTACTAGACAAGCAGTGAATTACTTAAAGTCTTATGGTTAGGTATCAATGACACTCACAAGATGGTATTGGTGATGACTGGCACACAGCTAAAATCGGCTGGTGATTTTTGGCCTGTTTTGTAAAGTTTTGGCTAGAACATGCTGGAACTGCTGTACTTCAACAGTTCAGCAAATCCATTCTTGTTAATTGGCATCATCAGGCGGTATGCCTGGTACCTATATCTTATTTGTTGCTACTGGGAAGAGTGTGCTTTGAAGATTGGTAGAGGCTATTTCACAGTTTTGACTTGTCTGATGATAACTAACACACTGTTAAACAAGCTTTTCCTTTTCTTTATAATGTAAGATATCTTTGTCCTCTACCTAAAATTCTGCATAGTTCTCATATAACATCCTTTTTTTCCTTTCTAGTCTTGCGTTCATGTTCGAGTGCAGGTTAATATGGTTTAAATTTGTAAAGTAATCTGAGGAATATAATGTGGTCATTTTAACCATGTTCACGATCATTTTCTTGCAGTGACTTTTAGCCGAATAGATCCTGCAGGTAAACTTGTCATGGGTTACCGAAAGGCAACAAACACTGTGCCATTACAGGTAATGGGCTTCTGATGCATCTTTTTATCCTTGTAAATAATCACATCTTGACAGTGTTGTACCTTTCTTCTGCTATTAGTTGGGACATTGATATTGATGTTTTTCTTGTAGTTCCTTCTTTTTATTAAGATTGGAATGCTCTGCATATATCCTTTGCTGATCCGATTTATATGCTTATATTGGTAATTGAAGCAGGATTCTCAGATTTCTGCAATTGCTAATGGTACATTTGGCAATGAAACATTGTTTTCTGGTGTTAATGAGAACATATCTACAGTAAGTGGATATTCTGGATTTCTTCGGTCATTAAAGGGTGCCATGGACCCATACTTGAGTTCTCAATTAGAACATATGAATGCATCTGATGAGGAAATCAGTTGGCATAAGGGTGGAATGCCAAATGAAGGACTGCAGCTTCAGCCTTTACAAAAAAGAAGCCGCAACATTGGTACCAAATCTAGGAGGTTCCTTATGGACACTGAAGACGCCTTGGAGCTCAAGCTTACTTGGGAGGAGGCTCAAGAATTGCTTCGTCCACCTCCAAGTGCCAAACCTAGCATTGTTACGATTGAGGATCATGAGGTTGAAGAATATGAAGTAAGTGAAATCTTTTGTAAAACTTAGGTGACATAATTGGATATCGTTTATATATTAACTGACCATGAAATGCAGAGTGTTTTACTAATAGTTGATACAGTTTTAAGTTTAACTTTTGAATGGATGTTGTACATTATTACCAATAATTTGGTTCTGTTTCATGGCAATTAGTTGGTACACTATTTTTCAGGTGTGTATGTCATATTGTAAATGGACTAGTAGCATGCCTCTCTGCTTATTATTGATACTCGTTTAGAAATTTCTTCTCTGTTAAATGATTTTCAAGTAGTAAAGTGCCGTTCTATATAGCATCACAAGCAAATTTCTGATTGGTAGATGTCTAAGCTGGATATACTTTAGGCCTCTTTCATGTAAGCATGCTTTTGAATCCATTTGTATATAAGTAAAATATGTAGCATAGATGTTTGTCCATATGAATTTATACATAGCAGACAACAAGAACAATAGCCACGTGGAGCTGGGTAATGTCATGTGCCGTTGAATGGATGGTGGATAGGGACGAGGATATGTCATGACACGTTACTATTTTGAGGTTACTGACAACAATATTTCCTTGGTTATTGATTGCTCCTTGTTTCTCTATGACTTTCTTGTCAAATGTTATATTATCTTATTTTTGTTTTTGACAATTATTGTGCAATACATTAACATACCCTTGAAGTGTCAATTATATAGTACACAGTGTAATGTCTGCACTATGAAGTCTGAACTATTTTGTTCAACCCATATATGATTGAGAAGTTGTAATAACTACACTTTTAAAGTCAAAAACAAAGAAGAGTTAAGCCTTAAGTTTGCAAATGCATTCCCGTGAAGCCAACAGTTCCGTAGTAGACCTATTTCTTCATTAGTTATTTGAATTGCCAGCTCCATGCCCTGCACAAGACTAAACCTCTGTATGTATGTTCACACTTAACTAGATAGGTTGTGAAGGATCATGATGGCAAGACCATGGTGTTAGTTACTAGGAAGAGATATTTTTTCTCACTATCATCATTTCAATTCCTCATGTTCCCACAAATTTGGTTGATAATAACTACACCTATGCAACTTTATTTTTTGCAAGTTTATGAGACCATTTAAGCAAGCTTCTGTATTGATTACAGCATTGATTAAAGCAACCACTGTATGTGAAAACTATTTCTGCCACTGATTCAATATCCTGCTTCGCTGCAGGAACCACCAGTCTTTGGCAAGAAAACCATTTTTACAGCTCGATCTTCTGGGTAAGGATGTTTGTATTTAAGTTATTCCTATTATGTTTTGATTTAATTTTGTAGAGAGTAGGAGAACAATATACTTTTAATAGTACATGCTTGTATGTTATCACATATTGTGCAAGTGTACTCACACACACACATATATGTAGATATATATGTATATGTATATATATGTATATATATGTATATGTATAGACATGTATATACATATGTGTATACATACATAGATACATATATATATATATATATATATATGTATATATATGTATGTATGTATGTATATATATGTATGTATGTATGTATATATATGTATGTATGTATGTATATATATGTATATGTATGATTATATGTATATATGTATGTATATATATATTTATATATATGTATATGTATATGTATGTATGTATGTATATATATATATGTATATGTATGTATGTATGTATATATATACATATATATGTATATGTATGTATGTATGTGTGTCAGCGATTTGAAAAGGCGCTTGGGCGCTCGCCTAGGCGCTCGGGCAAGGCGAGGCGAGGCCCGAGCGCCTCGCTAATCTCCCAGGCGACGCGCTTCAAACAGGCGCCGCCTGGGCGCTCGCCCGAGCCCAGGCGCTGGGCGCTTCGGGCGAGCGCCTGGGTTAACCAAGGCGACCGAACCAGGATTTTAGGTCTGGTTCGGTCTCCGATGGTTAGTTGGTTCAATCGAACCAACTAAAATCGATATAAGTGACAACCCAACCCTAACCCTCGCCGCTGTCGCTGCTCGCAAACTGTGCCGCTGTCGTCGCTCGCCGTTGTCGCCGCTCGCAAACGCTACCGCTATCGCCGCTCACGCCTCCCGCTGCTCAACGCTCCTGCTCCCGCTCTTGCTCCCGCTGCCGCTGCTCGCCGCTGCCGCTGCTCGCCGCTGTCGCTGCTCGCGCCTCCCATTGCCGTTGCCGCTGCTCACTGCTGTCGTCGCTCGCCACTGCCGCTACTCGCCGCTCGCCGCTGCCGCTTCGTCTTTTCTCAGCCAGCAGGGTTAGCACCCTTTTACACTTCCTTTTAACAGTATACGTATACTGTTAAAATTATTAAGTTTATTTAAAATAATTAATTTTCAATACTGTTAATAGATTAATAATATATTATTTTGATTTTAATACTGTTAATTTTCATTTATTTGAAATTATTGCTAGGTTTCTTAATATTGTTAATTTTATATCTTAGATTTTCTTAATTTAATAGCATATTTTTATTTAAAATTTTAAATAATTATATTTATTAATTATATTATATATTTTTATATTTTAGCGTCTCGCTTCGCTCGGGCGAGCGCCTAGCACCTCGGGCGTTTTTGGACCTTAGCGCCTTTTGGCGCCTAGCGCTTTT